ATGCAGTAAAACAAAACATTACCACAGAACTTTTTTTACTCTTGAATTGAAAAACCCCCTTTATAAAAACCCTTATGGCGAATTAGTCTTCTAGGTTTTGACACCACAGCTGCAGCACTATTATAACAGTTTAGGGATTGATGGATAGCAAGCAACCACCCAGAACAGCAACCCCGTGGCACAGTGGTGAGTTTTAGAAAATAACAACACACATTTTTGCCAACTAAAATAATATCTGGCCCGACGACCTGAGAAAACAAAGTAGTTGTTGGATTCTATTGTAGTAGTAGGCGACCGTTAGAATTCTACAGCTGTAACTTGGGTTAGACTTAAATATACTAAATTAAGAAAAACGTACCAAGTTATGGATTACTCAAGCGGTGTCAACCAAGCCATCTCAGGTTACCTGAAGGTATTGACTCATCCTGTGGAGCGTAGTCCATTATGATCCCATCCTCTGCAGATATGGGAAGCCTTCGAACCTTAAGGAAAAACAGAAATGCTACCCCTGTGATGACAGAATGGTGGTAACATCATTTGAAGAGCCACCTGTCTAATACGGTGATTTTCTATCCATTACACTCAGAGAAGGTTACAAATAGTCACACCTTATTGGCACATAAATACATAAGAGCTGCAGTTACCCATCGACTCTCCTGTGTGGGTTTATAGTGCTGCCCCGGACCCACCTCCTCTCCTTCAGCAAATACCCTGCGCTCCCTCAGAACACAGGAGTTTGTCCACGTCCGCAGGGGCGCTTGTCTGAGCAGTCAGAAGACTTCATGTATTGCCAAAGTAAATAAGTCTTATCGTTTGTAAAGCATTAACACTTCACCGAGCAGCAGTCTTTCAATACACGTAAACGACCTGCATGAACACAGAATCAGTTTTTTGTCTTAAACCCTGGAAGAAAATTAGCACGGATTCCTAATACAAGTAAAATAAGATCTGTGGGCAACACTACACACAGGCTTTCATGTTTTGTTCTGCAACAAATGAATGGGAATTTTGAAAGTTGAAATCAGCTGAAGTCCTTATTGAGCAACTTGCATTTTTTAAAGGATTCAACAGTTTCAGAGTTCACATTTGAGGTATATCGGTGTAATTTAATGTTGTACAAATTGTTACTTCAGGGAACGTAAACCACAGACCTCGTTTTACACAAAATAAAAACTGCCATTCTAAGAATGCACTGAAGTTCTGGAACGAAACCATGGGAATTTGCCTTCCAGGTCAGCCTTCAAATCGATCTCATGACTAAATCCACATGGAATCGGAATATTTTAGTTAACTTGAGTATGTGTTCAGTTGTCAATAATAATGTAGCATATACTGGTGAACTTACACAAAATTCCCATTGACAGATTTTTCTGGTCACATTTTGGCCATTATTCAGTTTACACAGCAGGTCTAGGAATGAAAGTTGAGAGTTTACAAGCATTCTCACCATATGGCGGTCCAACAGTTGCCTGGAAGCACAAAACCCAGTTCGAGCCATGATTCACAAAGACACTGCAGCTACCTGCACACACTGAATCTGCAGCTGTACCACCAGCTAATTAACAGCAGTGGCACTAATAAAGCTTACTAATTGACCCTTCACTAAGCCACGCCCTGTGTCACTAGCTTATTTTTGTTCATGCAAGTCTCTGGAAGTTCCAGTAGCCCCTCACTGCAGAACAAAGATCCAGGGGCCGGGGTTGGATCCACATCTAGGAGGTGGAGATGGGTGGGTTTAGGAGTGGAGATGGGTAGGTTTAGGGGTGGAGATTGGTGGGTTTAAGGGTGGAGATTGGTAGGTTTAGGGGTGGAGATGGGTGGGTTTAGGGATCAGGGGGTGGAGACGGGTAGGTTTAGGTATATGTAAGGTGGGAGGAGTTGGATCTGGATCCAACCTCACCCCCTGGATCTTGTGTTCTGCAGTGAGGACCATCTCGGAAGTTCCATGTGTTTGGGTTGTTTTAAAGCTGCAGTCCGTAACTTTTTTTTGGTTAAAAATGATCCGAAATCAATATTTGAGCACGTACATAACCAGCCAGTGTTCGAAACTATCGCCTTACTTTAGTCCGATTCACAATGGTCAGCTTATAATAATGTTTTCTAATTTGAGTGGTACGGGTAGGTTTTCGCGGGAAATTCGAGCATGCCGCTGCGTCATTACGTCACTTCTGTAAACATAAAGAAGTTGTCTCGGCTACTAGGCTATCGCATGTGAGGATCCTGCAGGTGGCGGATTGTTCATAGCCTTTTCTCACAGCAGCTGGAATAATTAAATGTATCATTTTGATGTCTGATTGTAATCCAGAAAGGATTATGTGTTTATGAAGCACATGTGAATGAAATTAAATTATATTCCAGTTTTAAATGTGCTTCTGATTACAGATATTCTGGGATTACACAAGATTTGTATTTTAAAGACAACCAGTTCGAAGGGAGCATAATTTGCTTTTACAATATCCGGTGAAAATGCTTATTTGAGTCATATATTCCAAGACGTAGTCTAGAATCTGTGAGTGCAAAGTACAATATCCACACCTGTGCAGTGACTGACTGCCACACATACTCCTTACAACATTAGAGTCATCCACGCTAGAGCCGTGCCGCCGCCGCACAACCCACGCAAGGAAGATAATTCCAGACACAGCTGCAATTGCAGGTTTTCAAACAGAGATGGCGACAGAGGCAAAACTTACCGCCTGCAGCTTTAAAGCAGCACTATGCAGCTTTTTCGGCGTTCAAAATTTGCTAAATGTATATAATGAGCGAGTACATCATGAATTCATCTTCCAAACCGTGTATTTGTCTTATTATAAGTGTACCGTAGTGATTTGGAATAAGTTCTTAGATTTGGACTATTGTAGCCTGGTCGGGTCGTCAGCGCTGCGGAGTACCTGCGTGAATCGCCATAGACATAAACTTAGAGAAGTAGCTCCAGTTGGAATGTTCTTCCGCGGGATGTGTGCAGTTCTGTTTATTAACCGCTAGAATGCTAAAAGTTACATAGTGCTGCTTAGCTTTAAACAGACTTGGACAAAAATTTCCCAAATATATGGTAAAGGTATGTCTTATTCCTAAATGAACACAATTTCAGCATAACATTTCTCCAAGATAAATTCAATAAAAAAAGATAATATAATTCTGTTGTTTACATACAAAATACATAAAAAAAAAATATTGACATTTGAATAAAGATAGCTACTTATCCCTGCTAGGAGTCATTATTATTGAGCATAAAGTTGTTAAATTATCTAAACTATATAAAAGTTACTAGAAAATCAAAGACTTGGTCATGTTATTGTTTAAAAGTGTGCAATATTCTTGGAATGTGCATTGTGTTATAGCTATTCTTATCATCACTATTAATTATTAATTAATTAATTTCATGTTAATTTCTGTGACAAGAATATGTTTGAATACTTTGGAAATGTCTGGATTTCTGCACTGATTACATAATTTCACATTTGTTGACCAACACAATCTGACAACTAATATCACACAAACAATTGTACTTTCAAATTTTTTTCGAATACACCAATTAATCATTCGCAGTGCAAAGTAAATGAACATTTGTAGATCCTCCTTCAACAACTCAACCTCTAGCAAACTTTTCCTGTAGCAGACTTGTGACCAGCTTTGAATCCCTCCCCATAAATCTGTTACAGTTTATCAGTATTTCTGTCTTGATAGCACGGTCCACTTTAACGCCACAGCATTTCAACTGACTTAAGGTCAGGACACAAATCTGTTACAGTTTATCAGTATTTCTGTCTTGATAGCACGGTCCACTTTAACGCCACAGCATTTCAACTGACTTAAGGTCAGGACACAAGGAAACACATACTTCTTTATATTTCATTCAGTCATGAGTAGATTTATTTGTGTGTTTTGGGTCATTGTGTTGTTGCATCACCCAACCCAATCTAAAGCTTGAAGATATGATCTGCAGTTCTGACATTCCCCTGTAAAACGTCTCGTTTCACTTTAGAATTCATTGCTTTTTCAATGACTGCAAAGTGCCCAGGTTTTGAGCTGGGAATCATTTCTCACAATATCATCTGTTGTGTTCCACTGAAGTCAGTCAGTCACACAGGCTTGAAATGACATGACATAACCAGGCTTTGTAATGAAAATGATTAAAGAAGCTTCATTTTTGGTGAACTATCACTTTAAGGTTAGGGTTTAAGGTAGGTTTAGGAGTTAATTGTGTAGTTTAGGGGTTTGTTGTGTAGGCAGTCAGCACTGTGACTGACATGACCCCCCCCCCAAAAAAACCTGTCAAAGCTCAACCCTCATTCTTAGATTAAATGACAGTTGTTGAAATAGAAATTATGCCAGTTTACATTTTGATTTTTTAAAACATTGTTTTATATAGCTTATATATATATATATATAAATAAATGCACGCCATCTTGTAGCCCCCTAAGTGAGCCACTGCCCCTGGTTAAAATCTACTGCTCATCAGCCACCAAAATATAAGTAGTTTTTAAATGAATAGTTCTGACTGTCGGAAAACAGCAAAAACGGTGTCCCTGTATTTTTGTTTAAATGACTGGCCATGAAAGTTTTTTTTTTTTTTTTTTCCCCCAGTGTCATTATTTAGGTGTAGATTATTATCCAGACCACTGCTGAAACAGACTAAATTATCCCGTTAAGTGTCTCACTGCTGTGGGAGTGAGTAATCATGGTCATTAATAATCACCGTCTCTTAAAATAATTTTCTAGATATTGTTAGAGCAAAATATAAAGACATTTCAAATGTTTGACCAATTACGTGCCTAAAGTATAAACATCTTCAATAAAACAAAAATTTTGCAAATTTTTGAGCCCTTGAGCACTGGCCGAAGAACACTGTGTCTCAAAATCTGCTGTCCACTTGATTAATTTGGCATGCTGTTGGGTTAGTAAAGGAGGCAGACATCATACAGTTTTTGACAAAAGAATTTACTTGCATGAATGTCCTAATAGCAAAGCATAACCCACTGCACTCTGTAGCCCCAAAAAAAAAAAAAAAAATCAAAGTTTGCAGAAATATTTCAAGTTTCCCCCCAACGTTTGCATCCCCTGCACTAAAAAAGTAAACTGAGCATCAATGATGACATTCGTGATTGTTCATCACATTCAGAACAGAACAGTCGATGGTTAAAGTTGCAAAATAATCAAAGCTGATTTGTCCTACAAGTAGGTATATACACATAAGAAAAATGGGTGAGAGCACTACAGCAGACCATTTTAGATCTTTTCCTCTCATGTCTCCACCCAAAAGTTTCTTTTAAAAACTATATTTGAGCATCATTAATGGTGTGAACTAGAGTGTGCATATGTTAATTTATGTCCGGGGCAAAGTATTATTTAATAACACAGGCAAATGGCACCATCTAGCGGTCTCTCTCAGTCAAGGCAATAAGGGCTGTTTCAAAACCTAGTGAGATGCCTAAAACAGACAGCAACTTTTGGGCTTGATGTGTTTAAGACCCGTAGAAGCACTTCAGTTCGGCCCTGCTGTTGGCACCAGTAAGGACCTTTCTGTATGAGCAAGTTTATGGAGGAGGGATGGTAATGTATATCATGTTTAAACACGAAAGATCGTCGGATCTCAAGAAAGGAAGCTTTTCATTTCCCCTTGCAAATATATACCGTGACTACCTTATTACACACCCACACATGCACAAATGAACTACACATGGAAAGATGGACAAAAGAAACAAACCAAAAAAACTTTTCTATTGTAATATATATTTTTATATATATATATATATATT